CAGCATGGTCCTGGCATAAAAACAGACATATGGATCAATGGGACAGAAGAGAGCCCAGAAATAAATCCAGGCATATGTAGTCATTTATTCTATGACAAAGGAAGCAAGAATTTATATTGAGGTAAAGACAGTCTATTTAATGGTGCTGGGAAAACTGGACAGACACATGCAAAAAAATGAAACTGGACCACCTTCTTACACCATATACAAGAATAAACTCAAAATGGATTAACGGCTTAAATGTAAGACCTGAAACCATGAAACTCCTAGAAGAAAATATAGAAGTAAATTCTCAGACATGACCCTTAGCAATATTTTTACTGATACATCTCCTCAGGCAAGGGAAGCAAAAGAAAAAAATAAACATATGGGACTACATCAAACTAAAAAGATTTTGCACAGAAAAGGAAACCATATCAACAAAATGAATAGACATCCTACTGAATGGGAGAAGATATTTGCCAATGATAAGGGGTTAATATCCAAAATTTATAAAATACTCATACAACTCAACACCAAAAAAAACAATCCAATTAAAAAATGGGCAGAGGACGTGAAGAGACATTTCTCCAAAGAGGACATACAAGATGGCCAACAGGCATATAAAAAAATGCTCAACGTCACTAATCATTAGAGAAATTCAAATAAAAACCACAATGAGATATCACTTCACTCCTGTCAGAATGGCATCATCAATAAATCAACAAACAAGTATAGGTGAGGATGTGGAGAAAAGGGAACCCTCGTGCACTGTTGGTGGGATTGCAGATTGGAGCAGCCACTATGGAAAACAGTACAGAGGTTCCTCAAAAAATTAAATATAGAGCTACCTTATTACCCAGCAGTTCCACTCCTGGGTGTTTATCCAAAGAAATCCAAAACACTAATTCAAAAAAATATATGCACCATGTTCACTGCAGCACTATTCAAAATAGCCAAGATACGGAAACAACCAAAATGTCCATCAATAAACAATTGGATAAAGAAGATGTGGTACATACATACCTTGGAATATTACTCAGCCTTAAAAAAGAATGAAATCTTACCATTTGCAACAACATTGATGGACCTTGAGAATATTACGCTCAGTGAAATAAGTCAGACGGAGAAAGACAAATCCCATATGATCTCACTTATATGTGGAATCTAAAGAACAGAACAAACAAACAAAACACAAATAGACTCAGAGATACAGAGAACAAACTGATGGTTGCCTGACAGGAGTGGGGTTGGGGAACAGGGTGAAAAAGGTGAAGCGGTTAAGTATAAAATAGTAATCACAAAATAGTAATGGGGATGCGAAATACAGTGTGGGGAATATAGTCAGAAATGTTGTAAAGACTACGTAAGGCGCCAGATGGGGACTGGACTTATCAGGGGGTCACTTCATAGGTTATATAGATGCCTGACCACTGCACTGTACACCTGAAACTTATATAAAATAATACTGAAGGTCAGCTGAAACACATACATCGTCACAGGATGTGGAGTACAGCGCAAGGAATCTAGTGGATGGTGCTAGAATAGCTGTGTACCGTGTCACATGGGTCGTAGACTTGGGGGTGATCACTTTGTGAGAGGTGTAAATGTCTAATCATTACGTTCATTGTACACCTGAAACTAATAGACTGTTATTCAAAAAATGCAGATTTAGTGATCCATGTCTATGAAATGTCAGAACTGGCAAATCTTTGACAGAAAGCAGGTCAGTGGTTGCCAGGGGCTGGAGGTTGGGGTCGGGGGGTGGTGAGGAATGACGACTATGGGGTACTGGGTTTATTTTAGGGAAGAAAACAGTGTTCTAGAACTAGATTGTGGTGCCGATTGCAATGCTGTGAACATACTAAGACCGTTGAATTGTATGTATGCTCTAAGTGGGTGAATGCGATAGTATGAGAATTTCTTTAAATAATGCTCTTTTAAAAAATGGAATGAAAAAAAATTTTTTAATGGAATGACTGAGCTTAGACCATGTGAAAAGGTGCTCACGCTCATTCTTAAATGAAGAAATGTAAGAGAAAATAATTACATGTCATGCATGAGCTGTCAGAGTAGCAGTAGCAGCAAAAGTAGAGATAATACAAAGAAGGGACAAAGGGAGGAGAGGCGGGCAGAGGGGAGGGTGGCAGGTAGACAGTAGACCGTTTTCCACGCGTTTGTGTAACGGCCCTCATCACGTAACGGTTGAAATGAGATGGAGGCACCTCTTTGGGGGCAATTAGGTAAGATACCGCAACACTAAGTGTTTCAAATTCAGTTAGGCTGCAAGGATTTGACTTCTTAGAGTCTGTCCTGTATATTTAGACTCCTGCGGATGTATAGTTGTAGAAAAAGGATTTCACAGCATCATTATAGAAAAATACTAGAAGTGGCCTAAATGTCCTTCAAAACTAGACTGACTACATAAGTCCCACGTGTCCCGTCAATAGAATACTGTACACCTCAGAAAATCAAATCGGATTCACATGTGTTGATGGAAGAACCTCGGAACGATATGGTTAAGTTTCAAAAGCCGAATACAGAAAATGTAAATAGTACGCCCAATTTGTAGCAAAATAATGAGAGACAGTCGTAAGTACTAACAGCACGTCGCTGGAAGAGCCCTAAAAAGAAAACTAAACCCATCAGCATAAAGAGGCAAGGAGTGACCCTTTATACCTGCTGTCCTTTTCTATTATTTATTGTCATATATTTTATACCATTTTCATTAATACCATGTGCATATATTACCCTTTAAATTATTAAAACCAGGGTAAACAGCTGGAATTCCCACGGGTCTCCAGGCAGCCTAATGCGTTCAGAGGAAGGCTGGTGTGTAATTCGCAGAGCCCTCCCCTTGTGTGTGTGGCTGTGCATCAGGATGTGACGTGCCTGTGTCATCCAGGTCTCCAGTCCTGACGGGGACTGTGAGCCCTGTGACGGCCAAAGCTATATAGTCCTGTTTGCAGAAAACACTGTCGGTGAATTGAAGCAGAATACAGATGTATTAGAATGAGGCGAGGAGACAGTTATAGAAACCTGGAGGAGGTGTGGCCTCGTCATGGACACCAGCAGGAGCTCAGACTGCCCACACCAGCACTGGTTTCCATCTCGCCAACACGTGCGGAGCCCCTGCTGCGTTCCAGCTTCTGTTTGACGCATGGGATCCAGAGGGGGGCTGGCCGAGCCCGGCCGGCAGCCGGGGCTAACCTTCCTTCCAGCACGCGGGGCCCAGGGAAGCGTCGCTAGGTGCCAGGCATCGTGCTCAGGAGCTGAGGTTCCTGACAAGTAACCGTCACCAGACCCCTTTGAGTAGTGTACCTGGGGAGTCCCTGTGGGACCGTGCCAGCTCTGGTGGCCGCTGTGACAGCCGCACTGCCGCCTCTGGACTGTGTGGGCTGCTGCTGGGACCACCACCGGGGACATCCGATATCGTCCCCAAGGCTCTAACCCCGACAGCCACGGGAATCAATTCTAAACCGCCCCAGGGTGCTGTGCATCAGTGTCTGGGTGGGAGGCTCAGGCCAGCTTCGCTCTGCTCATTCGCTGTCACCTGGACGCTGGGCGCTGAGATGACACAGCCCAGCGTCTGGCCTTTACGTCCTGCGTGCATCTGAAAAGAGAAAATTAAACCTGAGTCCTACGTGCTGATACAGAAGGGTCTCAAAAAGATGTGGTTCGGTGACAGAGCCAACAGCAACGATCAGATAAACCTATCAGGCCTCTGAATGGTGGGAATAGCCTAAGCTGCATTTATGGAAGCTTATGACAGGTAGTGTTAACGTTTTTACATAAAAACTCAAGGATTTTTATTTTAAAAGCTATTAAAATATTTTTAGCATTGGATCGTTTCTTTGCATTCATGGTTTGTAAAAAGAAATGAAGCTTCTCTTTCTATTTACTATCCCATAAATTCTGGACATGAACTTCTGACACCCAGCCAGCTTCTTTGTAACAGCTCTGCTGGGTTCCGGTGACCCAGTCATAGTTCACTACACACGAGCATCTGAGCGTCCATGCGATTAAGCCAAATACCTTTCAAAATCGTACTTTATAAATAGTGAACTCTTTAGAACAAACTTCCTCGTTTGGCAATAATCAGTAAACGTCTTCTGATTTGAATGTTCCGTGTCTGCATGGCTCACAGTGCCATGCGAGTACTTGTCACTGAGGAGTTGTGACTGCAGGGTCAGTGGTCACGTCTGTAACGTTAGAGACGCTGACATCCGCCTTACCGTCTGATGAATGGAAATCACGTTTTCCCATAGAATCCTGTTGGGTTCTCATAGAAACTTACAACCTTGAGCTGCGTTCTTCTTTTGAGTACAGTAACACTTCGGTTTGCGAGCATAATTCGTTCTAGAAACAAACTACTCGTATTGCAAGACATCACTTGTTTACCACATTAAAATACATTAGAAATGTTAGCTCATCTTGTGGAACACTCGCAAACCACGTTACTCGCACTCCGAGGTTTTACTGTATTTCTATATTCAGGAGTGAATTTTGGAATCTACATAAAAGAACAGATTACACAACACATTCGCATATGCAGAGCTTGATGTCATCCACATAGAGACCTGGGCTACGTAACCATTTCAGTGACTTCTATTTTGCTGAGTCTGTGCCTTAGGAAAGGAGAAAACAGCAAATTCTACCCATCTCTCTATCTAGATAAAGGCATATGGATGCTGCCTTCAGTTAGTTTTTATGCACCTGCAAACATGTGGAGCTACAGGCAGAAGTCAGAAGGTGTATCACCCCTTTCGCCTTCCCAGCCCTGGGAGTGGGAGCCTTTCATTGTCCTGCTGAATGCCAGGAAGGAATCATCCGGTTTCTGTGTTTTGGTCATTAAGATGGATATTAATATCTTTGGAAAAAGAATATCAGTTGGTTCCCTATGGAATTGCATCTCCTGCCTCATGTAGAATTTATATCCATTTATAAAATGTATCATAAATGTATCTTTGTTTATGCATAAGTGCAGTTACTACAAACTAAACAGTCCGTTTCTTTTCCAGATCCCCTAAGCTCTGACCAGGACTCGTCACAGCATTATCACGGCACCAGCAGCGGGTCCGTCGCAGCTGCCATCCTGGTTCCCTTCTTCGCTCTAATTTTATCAGGGTTTGCATTTTACCTCTACAAACACAGGTACCGTAGCAACACCATTTGTTTGCACATGTTGCGATTGTAAAGTATTGACGTAATGGTGTGCACGCCCTCACACTCACACATGTATCTTCTGTTGCCGTGCGATCTTCTCTCATACTTTGAGAATGCCCATACGGGAAAGTTTTGTTGTTTTCCTTATCTGCTATACATTTTCAGCAAGACACCGAGAGGCTGTGCTGTGAAGGAAGGCTCTGATCTCAGGGCTACGGGAGAGCCGCTCCTAAGCCCGTGACTTCTAAATCTGCGGGGTCTTATAGTTCTCTGTTTCAGGGCCAGATGAGGAATGTGGGGGTTTTGCAGCAGCAAGCAAGCCCCACCTGGTGGTCCAGACACCTCACAGGTCCATTTTCTCCTGAGCTCTAGCCACCTGTCCAGGGAACACACCAAGCCATCAGCATTCTCTCCACTCGTTCCTTCCCCTCTACAGATCTAAAACGTCCTTCACGAGTGGCAGCGCACTTCAGACAAAACCTTGTCTCTGCTCCTTTTGGAGTGTCTCTCGTTACTGACATGCTTGGAGTCCCAGGGTTCTTTGCTCACTATGTCCACGTGGCCTCCTCTCCAGGGTCCGGGAGTCTCATCCGAGTCTGCCGCGTTTCCCTGGCAACGAGGGGATGGTGGTGACTCGTGACTTGGGAGATGAAATGAAAATGTTAGCCACGGCTGAGCTCCATTCAGATTTGGCTGAATTTGTTTACCTATTTTTGCTATTGGAGCATTTTTAAGTTCAGTGTCAAAGTCTGCAGCTCCTCAAGCCGCTGCAGATGGCTTTTCTGCTGACAGAAGCTAGTTCTCTGGGAGTCACACACTTTTTAGTTCCCATTTTCTTAATGAACATATGGTAACTTAAGGAAATCCACTGGTAACCACTAAAACAGAAGTTTCTTTACATCCATGTCAAGTGATGATTTTGCCAGTGTGGTTATTTACATTAAAGTTGTGTTCTTACCACCTGGCATATTTTTCTTATGTAATTTCTTCTGGAAAAAAGTGTGTGTGTGTGTGTGTGTGTGTGTGTGTGTGTTGCGGGGGAGTGGTGAGACTAGGTAGTTTCAGGTCTTTTATATCTAAAAAATCTTTTAATTGTCTAATCTTCAGTGTACAGAGGGGTTTTCTTTTAACCAGACATGTAAACAATAGTTTCACAGTGAGTGTAGTGTCTTCTAGAGCCTACTCATTGGAGACAAAATTGTATTACAAAAAGGGCTAAGAATTAGTGACTGTCAGTTATGACAGAGAACCAACGTTTATACTTTTGTTGAAAGGGGGCACCTGATTGCTGCTTTGCAGATAGGAGTAAAAAATGTAGCGACTTCCTCAAGGTCATACACCTGACAAGTGATGGACGGATGCCCACACCCAAACTGTCCGCACCAGCGTGATCTTGCCAGTCGACCAGGATTCCTAGTTGGAATCAGCTAGTTCTTGGATTCTAGAAACCCGCTTCGATTTTTAAAGCCCCCTGGATAATGCCAGCCATCAAGCACCAACAGGACACGCCAGCCGTGTGAGGGCGCGGCCCCGCCAGCTTGCCTGGCACCTTTTCTGTGTATTCCCTGCTGGCTGACGAGTCATTTTACACCCACAGTCCCAGCTGACGCGTCTTTTTCTCTTGAAATCAGGGCCTTAACGGTGTGTGTTTGTCTTCCACTTTAGAACAAGACCAAAAGTTCAGTACAACGGCTATGCCGGACATGAAAACAGCAACGGACAAGCTTCATTTGAGAACCCCATGTATGACACAAACTTAAAACCCACAGAAGCCAAGGCTGTGCGGTTTGACACGACTCTGAACACAGTGTGCACAGTGGTATAGCCCTTAGTGCCGCAGGACAGACGATAGCCATACCTCGGACGGACAAGCAGCCATTCCTCTGGTGCCATAACCCACCCTCCTCCTCTCGGCTTTGCTGCAGCGAACGTCACGGCTTCTCCCAGCGCGTGCGGCAGGGGCGCCCGGGCCTGCGGGCCGAGTCTTCCGAGTCATCCTGGGAGTGGATTCCGAGTGCCGGCCGCCCCCGCCGGGGTCAAGGCCCACGACCGGAGGTCAAGGCGTCCGGAGGAGCCGCGTCGCCAGGGCTCCAACCTCCGCACTCTGCCTGGCTGGGCTCCTTCCAGCGCAAGGTCCTGGGCACGTGGATACTGCCCTCGGGGGCAGTGACAAAATGGTAGCACCACAATACGTTGTCATTTTTTCTTTTTTGTAACCCCCATGAATGCAAGCACTCTGGAAAAAAAAAAAAAAAAAAAAAGCTCTCTTGGAAGTTCCCTTTGGGGTGGACGCACACCCGGCCCATGTGCCACCGCCCTCCTGACACCTGACAAACTTTGAGGACCTGCAGCCGCCTGGCGTCCATCCCTGGGGCCATGTGCAAATGTCCCAGTCAGCTGTTCTATTGCAGAATTTCTGATGCACAATTTTTTGCACTAGTGTGTTATGAATGACTGAGTAAGAATCTGATAAAAATAAACTACACAGGGTTTATACACACTACCCATTGTATTATAAGCATCTCTCATAGTCTCAAGCAAAACATTTCACCATCCGTTTAGTTGATCAGTTAGGAAAAGACAAGAGTCCCCAGATGTGGCACAGGTTTGTCAAGGGAATTCGGTATTGAAGAGATTCACTCTATTTTCGCTTCTTTTAGCTCCATACATGTGTTGAACTCACTGAAGATGTCCAACAAGAACAAAACGAGGCCTTTTCTTTCCCACACGTTTTCTCCCTGTGGTCCCGGCGTCACCCCATCATTGTCAGTATTATACAGCTTCATAGTGGGAGGTCTGCAGCAATTTCTATCTGCCATGTAAAAATGTGAATAGTAATTTATTTTAGATAGCTCATGAGCTTGTGGGTGTTCGCTCACAAAGCAGCCTTCCCTTTAGCGTTGTGTTTGTCCTTCTGTGCTGGGCCGTCCCTCTCTGCTGTCACGGTGAAAGACTACACACCCCAGAGGCAGCTTGAACTGGGTGGAAATTGTTCAGGATCAGAAGGATCAAAATAGCAAGTGTTTCTTTGGCGGCGAGGAGAAATTACACACACACGTCTTTCCTTACGCCATGGTTGATTGATTAGCTTGTCTTTCGTTTCATGCTTTATAATTCCAGATGGAAAGAAAATTCCAGTGATTTTTCAAGTTTAGAATTCATTCTTGGTAAATTATAAATTACCGTCTGAAGCAGGCGTGATCCCCAACGTGGATAAAATCAAAACCTGACGTAGAACTTACAGCAGTGAGAACATCTGTTGTCACAAACTCAAAGGGAACATCCTGTTTAGTTTTATTTATAACCGTTTGGTGAAAAGATTCTGGAAACATATCCTCTCAGTTGGGTTTTAAGAACCGGCCCTACCTATGAAGCGTGTCCCGTGGTGGCAGTCCTGCTGGCCCCACAGACGTGTCAGGTCCCTCGTTGTAGTGAATGGGTGCCCACCTGGCTTCAGACTGCTAGAGCTGTTGGCTGCACATTTCAATGCAGGATCTCAAAAGTGAGAAATGAAAAAAAAAACAACAAAAAACTGTCAGGATGTCAGCTCATCCTTTCAGAGTTGTGCATTGTGCTTTGAACATTTTAGTCCATCTTCCTACTGGGCACCCACTGTTTGGGCCTCGTGCGCGTGAAGGGCGCGTGCTGCCGGGAGGGCATCACTGACCTAGTTCCTTCTTTGCCTTTTGAATCCCACAGTATTATGCTGGAGTCTCTGCGCGCTTTTCTCTGGCCAGCCTGACACCAGGCCCAGAGGCTGGCTTTGCAGCCTGGAGCCCTCCCGTGACCTCCTGTCTTTAGACGGGATGAGGTCAGTGCCAGCCAGGCACTGGCCGCCCGCGGAACCGGCCAGGGAGGGAGGCTCCGTGCAGGGAGAACAGGGTAATTCTATCTCTACTGAGTGTATATATATACATACATATAAATATACTGTACATATCTGAGTTTGAGTCACTCAAACGAGATGCAAAGCGCTGACTTCCGAGTCTCAGTCGATGTCTTTCGCCCGCGTTGCTGACCTGCCCTCTGGTCAATGACCTCCCTGCGCCCTGAAATGACAGGACATCCGTCAGGAAACCACATATCAGATTAGCTATTCTTTTCCTTTGTGTGCAAAGTCAAACGTCCTTTGGTTGTCACATTGGAGCATGTTATTTAAACAAGGACACTCCGTGGAATGGTCCCGCAGGGGCTCTGCCCGGGTCCCCTGAGGGTGTGGGCGGGCTGAGCGGGTCTGCTGGGGGCAGGGCAGCCTGAGGACTCTTCCCGACAGAGGGGACGCGCGAGGGCCCGCCGCGCGAATGCAGGGCACGTGCTTCAAAGCTGTTTAAACTGCTGCTTGTCTCACACATCTTGCCTTTCTTCAGGCTAGCTGCAATAATTTTTTTCTTCTGTAAAATATTTTGTAAACAACGACAAAAAAAAGCTATTATAAAAAAGGGGAAAAAGAAGGCTGGCATTCTGATCAGGAAATCCATCGTCACCCCCACCCGTCTCACCATCCACCACATGCTGCTGACACGAGTAGGTGCAAAAGACCTTTTTGTACAGAGATATATTTTTTATGAAGAATTTGTAAAATTATTAAATATGCTGTAATTTTTTGATTAATGTAGGTAAATTGTTAAAAAAAATAAATGTTTTTACAATACAAAACTGTAATTTTCCCAATAATGTACATTGTACCACCTCTAGCTGATTTTCAGTTCCGATCCTATTACACATGTATTAATATTAAAGTGGCCTGTTAAAATGAACAGTATCTTTTTTGTCAAAGAAAAAAAATTATACAGAGTGTAATATAGCCTGTGCAATGCCACCTATCTTTAAAGCAAATCAGAGCTCTAATTAAATATTTAATTTTAGATTTCTATTTTCGGCGTGAAGTTATTTGACTTTTCCTGCGTGTGTGTGAGCCTGGCGGGAGGTGGAAAGCCGCCAGGAGTGTCGCCAGCGGCTCACCGTTGCCCCCAGCTGTGACATCACCGTCATGCTTCATAAAAGGCAGACGCGAGGAGCCGTGATACCGCGGCTTAAAATCAATGAGAACTTTCGGTTCCCTCCAAACCGAAGTCAAG